ATGTGTCAAACACAAGGCCCGCGGGCCAAATCCGTCCCTCCAGGCCTTGCAATGTGGCCCGCACCGCGCTGTCATCACTGCACTCTGCTGCATTTCCATCACAATGACAGTTCATGACTGTTCAGTAAACCATTCGGCCCGCGATTTAGGCTGGATTTTAGATTTTGGCCCCTTCTCTGATTGAGTTCGACACCCCTAGTTAGTCACTGCGGACAGCAGCTGCAAGTACAGCTCAACGAGCCAAACAGTCAACCCAGTACCAGGACGCCTTGCCTTCTAAGTAATGGCTGCAGACCATAACCTGCTCTGGGTCTCCTGTCACCTTAGCCCTAGTCTTCAGGTTTCAGGATTTGAGATCCCTTTGCATTGTCCGTCTCAGTCCACACGGCTCCTTCCCGATCGCTCCCAGGGGCTGGAGAGGTCTTCGTCCTTAGGAAAATGGCGAGTGCCAGGTAACAGGTGTGGGCGGGTGAGCGTGCCTTGGCTGAGAGGAGGGGGATGGGTCCTACCACAGCTCGCTATCGGGTGGTCAAGGACTTCTTTCCATAGAAACGGGCCTGACCAACTTCTCTTGGGTTGCCTGATGTCCCCCGCCATCCTGCAGCTAGTAAGGACCCTCTGGTGTTGGTCTGTACAATTCTGGCAGTTCTGTGCTTAGCCCGTTTTCACCGGGTAAAGGCAGGGATCTGGTTGGTTACTTGCTTTTTCATTTGCCTATAAGTCTGGGTGTTGAACCAAGATAACATTATATTTGACATACTAACAAAGAGAATAAAAGATACCGCAATTCTGGGAGTCAGCCAAGTTTTCTTAGTTGGGACTCATAAAAAATGGACAAATTGGACTTCCCAGCGATTAAAAACTTCTGCTTATTCAAAGGCACTAATAAGAAACTGAACACCCAAGACATGGACTGGGAAAAACTACCTCACAAAGGACTTCTCTCTGGAAGGTCCAAGGAGACCTTCTAATGGGAAGAAGTTGAGCAGTTCAGTTTAAAGAATGGGCACAAACTTGAACAGGCTCTTCTCAAAAGAAGAGACTAGTTAGTACACAAATGACCACTGCTAGTAAGTACATGAAAGGGTGCTCAGCATTAAAACCGCCATGAAATACCACTACACATCTACAAGAAGGGCTAAAATTAAAAATATTGGCAATTACATCTAATGACAAAAATGTGGAGCAACTGGATCTCTCGCACATGGTGCCTCTTAGGAAAAAAAGAGCCTGTCAGTCCCTAGAACAGTGATTGTCAACCTTCTTCATCCCAGGACACACATAAACTAATTACTAAAATTCTGCATCACACCCCAAAAATATATTTTTTGCCAGATTGACGAAATTAGATATACCTTTGATTGATTTACTTTTAAAAAGTTGATGAGAGTAATCACCTACTCTTTTTGCTCCAAAGTGATGTTTTCAAAAACCAGGTGCCTATCCTGTATAATAAAAGCCTAATATGCAAATTGATTGAACCATGGCAGTGGGCAGAGGAGGGGGGTGGGCGGCCGGCAGGCGGGTGGGCGGCCGGCAGGCGGCACCAGGCCAGCCTTCCAACGTGGGCCCACCAGTCGCAGATCGGCTCTGATCACCGGCCAGGCCTAGGGACCCTTCTGTGCATTAATTTCATGCACCGGGCCTCTAGTACTTGTGTATAAGGACTTCTGGTTCCAAAAATTAACCAATCAGATGCAACTTTATTATGCGATGTACCCAATAAGATTCTGCTTTATTATATGACATATATATATATATATATATATATATATATATGGTTCAAGACAGGGCATTGACACCAGACGGTTTTTTAAAAAATTTTTTAATTTGGCAGTCTAAGGGAAAAGAGGTCAGTGCCCCTGACTAAATAGTCAAGTATTGCATGTTTTAAAAATTCTGCAGCACTCTGGCTGAAAATCATTGCCCTAAAAAGTTAAACATTGACTTACCAGAAATTACGCAAGGGAAATGAAAACATGTGTTCATAAACGATTGGTACAAAAGTTCGTAGCAGCTTTTTTTTTTTTTTTTTTTAATCCCAAACTGGAAGCAATACAAATGTCCACCTGCAGGTGGACAGATAAACCAATTGGAGCTTAGCCACACAGTGGAATACCACTCAGTAGTAGCAGTCATCAGGAATTCATCCACATCATGAATGAATACCAACGCCAGTCTAGTAGCTGCCCAGGGCAAGGGTAGGGATGTCTGCCCCCCAGGGGCTCAGGGAACTTTGGGGTGATGGAAATCTGCCTCTCGGCTGTGTGCTGTGTCTTCGTGATGGCCATGCTAGCACTGGAGTGGAATTGACCGGAACTCTATAAGCTACACACCAAGGCTGGCTTCGCGGTGTCCCCGGGAGGGCTGCCACTGTGCCAGGGCACACACACTGTGTAAATACATAAGCACGTTTTCTCCGACCGCGTGCCGTTCTCGAGAAGTTTGCCAATCCGCCTGCCAACCAGTTGGGGGGCTGGGCATCCTGTGTGCCTTGCCCAACATTCCGTTCTGTGCATAGCTTCTGTATGAAAGCGTAAGTCCCCCAGGAACTGACCTGTCCAGGATGCAGTGGGGCTGTGGGGATTGATTATGAATGAGCTCCTGGGAAGACTGGGCTCTGGGCCTGGAGGCCAAGGGCATGGCAAGTCTGGATGGAAGGAAGGATCGGGGGACTTGTCCTAAAGCGTCGTTGTTGCCTCGTTCGCGTGTTCACATTTGGCTTGGGTGGGGTCGTGGGAGGGTATTACGTGGGTCTGAAATACTCCCCATGTGGTCCTTTAGGTTCTGCGAAATTCATGGGAGTGTCGATCATGTTCTTTTCGCTGAAGGCCTCTTTCTCTTCCTTCTTTCTTGTTTATTTCATTATACCTTTTGCACCTTCCTCCTGAGGCCCACGGTGACGTTGAAGGATATGAAGTGCTTTCTTTCATTTCCTGGCAAAATCAATCCTGGCTCCTTTACCTGTGTTTTGCTCTTGTTCTGCCCCCTTCGGAACGCCCGGTGGCTCAGGAAAGCTCCGGGTTAAGAGTCACCTGGGGAGGCGGGGACACGGGGAGGGCACACTGTGGTCTGCTGCGCGCGGCACTGGCATTCTCACAGGTGGCACAGAGCCTGCCTTGCTGAGAACAAACAGGTGTGTGTTCTCAGCTCTGCAGGGCCCTTTCCAGAAAGAGGGAGCAGAAAGGGGAAGTGTCAGCCCCCATGGTTTGTGGGGTGCCAGCAATACCCCGAAACTACAAATTCCGCGTCTTGGCCACTGGCCCTGTGGGAAATCAAGAGGGCGGGGCAGCGGGACCCCTGGGAGCCGAGAGTGGAACTGTGTACGTTTTTCAGTTCATCCTTCAGCTGATAGATATTTTAAGATCCGTGGGACCCATGACTGTTTTAGGAATTTCACCCCAGGAATTGCTAAACAAGTTCATTTACCTGACTCTCATGCAATGTGCCTATTGAGATAAACTCTTACTCCATTATGGAGTGTAAGTAACGGGCCTCCCGCAGACAAAATAGAAAAGGGCTTGCAGAGTAAAAGCTCCTTTAGTGTTTTTTTTTTGTGTTTTTTTTGTTTGTTTGTTTGTTTTTTCCCCTTTTGAGACATTGTCTTCTGGAACCACCATCATCTCTGTTATTAATCACTTGTGGGGCTTTCTACTGCTTCCCATTGCTCCCTTGGAATTAAACTGCACCTATAAAATATGAAAAATGTACATTATAAACAGTTTTTTTTTAAATTAAAAAAAAGTCATTTTCTAGCATAATGCCCCAAATAAAGTGCCATGGAGCCATTAGTAGTAAATGGAATTCTTTGGTGTGTCCTTTGTACAAACACTGACAGGTGCGGTCCCCGCTCTCCTCCACCCCCTAACCCCCCACTCGTCATTGGGTTCCGCAGACACAGAGGCAGCGATCTGCAAGGACAAGCGCTCTGATGTCATCTTCAGTCGCACACTTCGCTTACTGGGCCGTTGGCGGCTTCTGTCACTCGGTGCCACCCCGGCACCATTAGCGAACCTCGCCCCCGGGCAGCTGGGACGCTGGGCTGGGGCAGATGTTCTTTTCAGCCTATTCACTGACCATTCTTGGGGGTTGTTTACTGTTGCCATGGTGACTTTCATTTCCATAGCAGCAGCACCGCTGCTTCTCAGAGGAAAATGAATTTAGTTATAAAAGGATAATATTTTTTTCTCTGTCTCCGGATAACCTGCCATCTGTCGACTGGTGGATCAGTCAGGATTCAGAAACCTATTAAGAATTACAGCAATGAAGTGATGAGCTTTTTTTTTTTTTTTTGGTCCCATATTAAAAACAATCCTGGGACAGACATTGTGCCCTCAACATCAAAACTTTGATTTTTTTTAATACATGTTTTTAAGTGTGTGTGTTTTCAGTGCCTTCACCGCTGCTGTATACATACATACACACACACACACATATCTCTCTCTCTCTCCCTCTCTCTCTCTCTCTCTCTCTCTCTCTCTCTCTCTCATAAATGCAAGTTATATTCTGTTGATGAGTGGAAATGACCAGTCATCGTGTGTGCACTGGACTAGATGCAGGTGTATGTTCTCTTCCTGGTGCTGTGACCCTCCCCAGTTCATTCAAGATTCCTGTGGCTGAACTTCCTGTTGTCGCCCCACTCTCCTGCACCCGCACCCAGGGAACAAGCTGTTGGGGTGTGTGGATCAGCCCCGTCATCAGGAACATACAGTGCAAATCCTGAAAGTAGCAAAAGGAGAAGAGAGAACATGCTCTGTTTTAAAAACATAGGGACCTGCCCCTTCCATCTCTTTCTAGAACACCTTTCTTTCTCCCTCTCCAATCCAAGTGGGAAGCAAGTCACCTTGGGGAGCTAGCTCATCCAGTTTCTGGGCTTTTCCCCCCCTCCCCCCCTTTCTTTCTCTCTCTGTTGCATTCATAAGCTGACGTGCAGGGGGAACAGCCACGCCCGCACACCGGCCCCGTTGTAAATAATGTTATTTATTGGTTGACTTTTCCAGATCCTGACATTGATGCTGCCAGTGCCATGATGCTTTTGAATACTCCCCCTGAGATACAAGCAGGTTGTGAGTAGCTATTTCTATAGCCTTCAGCGCCATAGTTTGTGAACTTAACCCTCTCGTGTACACACCAGGCCGTAGGGAGAACTAATGCTCCGGTAGAACCTCCCCGTAGAGTCACTTAAGACGACCTTCGTGCGTGATGACACGCACACGCATGTGCACACGCGTGAATGGAGGCGTAGGCGTGTCTCCGCACAGGGCATTGCAGAGCTCCGGGCTCGGGGGAAGGGAAGCGGGGCCTGTAATGAGTCCCAGCGGAGCGGCCCTCTCTGCGCCCTCAGGGACCCTCTGCCGGAGACGGAGACGGAGACGGAGACGCTCCGCGGGGCCAGCTGAGCAGGCCTGCCGCTGAGCGGTACCCATTTTTAGAAACCCCTTCTCCCTTTGGGATCTCATTAATAGCAGGCTGCCATCGTGTAGGTGGAGAGAGAGGAGAGGGTCGTCTGGCTGGGGTGGGTGTCATGCAGGAGCTTGGATGAGCCTTGAAATGGGTCCCCCGTGGCGCCCCGGAGTCATCGGCACCAGCCTTTCCGGGTGCCGAGGGCAGGAGGGCAGGCCTGATTAGCCAGCCGGAGCTCCTGTCCTCACCTCCCGCTGGTCGTTGAGCAATATTAGGCTGGAGACAACTCTTCTTCTTTGAGCTTCTTTCTATCCACCTCCTTACGTGTGTTTTTTTCCCCCCTGTCCCCTACATCTGGAGCTAGACTGCCCTGGTCTTAGAAAGACCTTACCAAGGGATGAAAAATGGCCTTGCTCGGAGATGTCTGTACCGTGGCCCTTCTGGCTTGAGATGAGTTCCTCTGCCCACGTCCCGCCCCCCAGCCAGAAACCTGCCGAGCGGACAGCCGGCTGGTCCGCCAGGGTCTGCTCAGCTCGTGGGCAGGACATGGCTGCGCCGCAGCCTCCTGCTGGGGAGACGCAGGCGTGGAGGTGACAGGGTGAATGCAGACCGGGCCGGGACACCGGGAGCTGGCGCCCACCTGGCTCGTTCTTATGGCCGGGCCCTCACCGCTGCTGGGGCTCTGGCTCTCGAGGGATCGCGTGGCCTCCTGAGCAGAGGGACTCCCCCACTTTTGGAGTCAGTAGTGCTCCCCGCAGAAGAGCCTCCGGCCTCAGACTCGCAGCAGGCGGCCTCGGTTATGAGTGGGCCACTGGGGCGTCCCCGGCTGCCCTTCCCAGCCCTGCACTGTTCACAGCCTGCCACCAGCTTGAGGAAGTTGGACTCCATCCTTTCTTACTTGTTCCTGTGGTTTTTTTTTTGTTTGTTTGTTTTTTTTAAAGATTCAAAATATATAGCCCAGCTTTCTCAGGAAGGACTTGCCCTCCATCAGGGGCCGCCCGTTCCTGCCGTTGAAGGCCCAGAACTCTCAGTCTCTCTTTGCTAAACTCGGACTGTTAGCCAGGCTGCCCCCTCCTCCGAGCAGCAGACACACTGGCCAGGGCGTGGGTAACTGGCACACTCCTGTCACCGGCAGTTGACCTGTAGTGTGGCTTTTGAGCAGATGGGTGAGGTTACAGGAGAGTGTTAGCACAAAACACCTCCATTCTCAGAGGACGTTGCAGGAAGAGTACAGACCGCACTGCAGCCGAGTGACGGCCTGAAATGGTTTCTGAGATCAAGTCACATAACTCCTCACGGGGGACACATGCTGACTTCACCGGAGCTGTGAACTTCTGGCACCTTCCTTAGCACCCCGCCACTGGTCATTGGTTTAAAACAAATGCGTCTGCTGAACTGGAGGAATGAGGTGAAGAGGGAAAAGGCACGGGGCTGGCCATTGGCAGGTCCTCCGAAGCTTCCCTCAGGCCCCACAGGAAGAGCAGGAAAAAGGCTTCTTTCTTTATTGGTTGGCAAGTGAATGGCTTTTAATGTTTTCGTGACTTAATGAACTTGTCCCCTCTCTTTCACTATAACCCTCAAGCTGTAAATAGTTATTTTTTCCCCAAGATAGCCATAGCCTCACCTTGAAATGCTGAATTTGAGTTTTCAGAGCTCAGCGTCCATGTGTTGGCTCTCTGCTCATTTTCAGAGGCTTCCCTGCCTCTCTCTTTCCACTGTGAGACGCCCAGCACACCTTCATGGAGGCCTCATACCACACAGGGACTCCGGGGCCCGGAAGGAGGAGCCACGATGCCCACAGGAGCCAAGGAAGGAGCAGCAGAGGAATAATCGGAAGTCTGGGCAGCGGGTGGGGTGCCAGCTTCCTGTCCCTCTGGCCCCGGAGTGTCCCCTAGGGGTCAGGGTAGAGCAGTGTGAGGGAGGTCCTGCCACTGCCCATTGGGGAGTGGGGCTCCTGCCTGCACACACCTGCCTGCAGTCTCCCCAGGCTGGTCTGGGCCGGCTCTGTTTATGGAGCCTCTTCGTGTGCCAGTATCTATAACCTCTTGTTTTTACCTCCTCACTGTCCAGTGCTCCTGTGCGAACGCGGCCACCAGCATGGTCTGTCTGCTGCTGTCACTCCCAGCCGTACCAGGTGGCCTGGGCAGCCTGAAAGCCTTTCCCTTTCTCATTGCCCCTTATAGCCACTGCATGCAGGTCACCAGACAGCAGCCACTTAGCGTGTTGTCTCTCGTCCTGCCCTTGCTCGGCACCTGCAAAGCCAGCTCGGGGCTGGCAGACAGGCCACGGCCCAGCGCCTGAGGTGGGTAGGTCATAGAAAGCAAATGACTCAAGAAGCTGGAGAAGGAGAGCCCAGCCAGCAAGCCCTTGAACTCTGGGGAGTCCCTCACTGCCCCAGGGAGCTCCGGGTGCTGGACGCCCATGGGTCCCTCGGCCTCTCATTGCAGCCGGGTGCTTCCCTTCCAAGGAGACAGCCATGCCGCTCATTAACACCTCAGGCCCCACCATGGCCTCGTGGGCCGTTCCCGCCAGCAACACCAGCGGTGACACTGTCTTTTTCGTGCGTTGCCAGTTGGCAGCCTGGGTAACATTCTGCAGGGAGGCTGCGCTGTCTCCCATGCCGGATAGGATACTCGAGAGGACTCGCCTTCCCCCAAAATCAGGGCAGAACATTGCTGCAGCACCATCTCTTCCCCTCTGGGTTATGCTTCTAGCTCAGTGGTCGGCAAACTCATTAGTCCACAGAGCCAAATATCAACAGTACAGCGATTGAAATTTCTTTTTGAGAGCCACATTTTTTAAAATTAAACTTCTTCTAGTGCCACTTCTTCCAAATTTCCAAATAGACTCCTGCAGGCCGTGGTATTTTGTGGAAGAGCCATACTCAAGGGGCCAAAGAGCCGCATGTGGCTCGAGAGCTGTGAGTTGCCAGCCATTGTTCTAGGCAAACCCATCCAAACATCACCCCAAAATGGCTCTGTGGACTAACCCCAGCTCCTAGAGTCTGCTAAGCCCCAGCATGGCTGCCCCTTGACAAGCCCCGTGAGTCACCTGGAACTCGGCTTGGGGAACTGTTGGAAGCCAGGAATCAGGTCACCGTTACTCATCTTCACAGCCTTACCTAATCCCGGTGGGAACGTTCCCAGAGAGGAAGTCCAGAGAATAAACACAACAGCCATGCGGTGCCTCCAGCTCCCTGCTTGGAGCCGGAACATACCGGGCACCGGGAAAGAGAGACAGCCAGGAAGTCAGCACCCCTCGCAGGCTCCTCCCCACGTCCTTCCTTCCAAGTGAGCAGGTGGAGGCTCCCGGAAAAGGGAGGACTGTGATCACCTGGCCGCTCGGCTTGTGGCCTCGGGGGGCAGCATTCGCCAGGGCTGCCCTCCAAAGGCGGCAGCGGGAGCGCAGGTTAATTTTAGAAGCTGTGAGAGCCAAGGAAGCTAAGCATCAGGGGGACCAGGAAGTGGGGGTGGTAGGGGGCAGCTTGGAGGGAATCTGTCTTGTGCCACATACTTTTTTTTTTTTTTTTTTTTAATCAAGATGATCACATTCCACATGCTGCTGTTTGATGTCCTCTCATTTGGGTGTGAGCGTTGCTTTCCTGCTGGTTAAAAATAAGGAAGTTCAGGTGAAACCGGTTTGGCTCAGTGGTTAGAGCATCGGCCTGCGGACTGAAAGGTCCCAGGTTCGATTCCAGTCAGGGGCATGTACATTGGTTGCGGGCACATCCTCGGTGGGGGGTGTGCAAGAGGCAGCTGATCGATGATTCTCTCATCTAACTCTCTATCCCTCTCTCTTCCTCTCTGTAAAAAAAATCAATAAAATATATTTTAAAGAATTATAAAATAAATAAATAAATAAAAATCAGACAGTTCAGAGCCAGTCTGTTAAGGTAAGAGAAAGGGGCGGATCGGCCCAGGTACTGATGTCGTTGGCACCCGGGTCCCGTAGCTTGAGAGTCTCCAGGTGCGTGCGTCTTCTCACCCGTAAACGACGAACGATGTAGCGAAAGGGGTGGTGCTGGAGCCTGTCTCCTCCAGCGAGAACCATGGATCCAAGCTGGCCATTCCCGGTGATTTTAAATGTCCATTTTCTATTTCCTCTTCTCCAGCGGCAGCCTCTTCCCCAGGTCACCGGGCGGGTGCACTGGCCAGAAAGGGCTTTACGTGTTTTGATGGACTTTGAGGGAAACACAGAGTAAAAGGAACAGAAAGCTAGACGTGCTGAGAGAGAGAGAGAGAGAGAGAGAGAGAGAGAGAGCGCTGAGGATTGGGCCTCGTGCTCCTTTAGGATCCCAGAATCAAACACGGGCCTCCAGACGCCTTTCTCTCACCTTGACCTTAACCTGCCTGGGATCCATCTTCAGAAGCTGTGTTCCTGACACCGGGGATGGGGACAGAAAGGAGAAGCGATGGGGAACAGTTCTGTGTCACAGCTGGTCGCTGGCAGTCAGAGAGCAAATGGGAACAGATCCGCCATCCGGCCGCCAGGAGCCTGCCAGGGACGGGGACTGGGCGATGCCGGGGTTGGCAGGGGCCACCGCGATCCGTTGCAGCTCATTTGCGAATGAGCTCAGGACTCAGAGAGCCCGGCTTCCGTGCCAGGAGTCCCGGGAGGTTCAGGAAGTAGCTCAGGGGAAGTCTTTTGATGCTGCTGGGTAGCTGTGTCCCGAGATTCTCTTTGAAGCGAACGAGGTTTATTAAACAGGGGGATGTTTTAAGAGGTGCATGCAGAGGAGGGGGTGACTACAAACAGCATGAGAGGCTGACCGGATGTCCCCTGTCCTGACCTGGGCAGGCCCTGGGCCTTACAGATCATTGATAAGAGGATGTGAAAGAGGTGAGATGGGATGGCGGGACGAGGCGATTATAGGATGGGCCAGCCTCGGAGCTAAGCCATTTATGTAACTTGTCTTACTTAATCCTCAGAACAGTCCCGTGAGGCATGTTTGAGCATGTTTGCAATGGGGAAACTGAGGCTCAGAAAGAGTGAGGCACTTGCCCGAGGCCACAGAACTCGTGCTGGGACAAGACTTTGGGCGGAGGCCCTGCTGCCCAGAGTGTCCACCTGCCGATGCGGGACCCTTCATCCATGAAGCAGCTTTCTTAGTTCCCTCCCTGTTGGGTGTGCCCCTAGTGCCTCAAGGCCTGGACACTCGGACAGAGGATTCTGGGCACGGGCACCGTTCTGGGGGCTTCTTTTCTCTCCTTCAACTGGCAGGTGATTCAGTGGTTACGCCCGAGTGCCCGAGAGGCTCCCCACCTGCTCTCTCTTCGTTCCAGGCTCCCCAGTCCTTGTCCCTAGGTGACAGGATATGGACAGGGGACAGAAGCCACATAAGAGAGTTGTTGCTCTTTCATTTTAGAGATTTTTTGTTGTGGGTATGTGTGTGTTTTTATCCCCATCCTGAAGATATGTTTTCATTGATTTGAGAGAGAGAGAGAGAGAGAACATTGATGTGAGAGAGAAACATCCATCGATTGCCTCCATACATGCCCCAGCCAAGGAGGGGACCCACAATCCAGTATGTGCCCTGACCAGGAATTGAACCCACAGCCTTGTGGTGTACAGGACGATGCTGCCACCAACTGAGCCATCGTCCAGGACTTGTTTTGCTCTTACCGGGCTTTCTGCTCACAGTCGGTCGCTTCAGGATCGCTCTCTGGGTGTTGGTGATGACAATAATACTGATAACCCGTGATTTTCTAAATAACGGTGTCTGTATTAACTCAGTTAAATCTCCAGATACTCTGTGAGATAAATACCAAATTTTGGCCCCGTCCTAAGTGGTTTTTTCAGGGACACGGGCAGTAAATGGCAGAGATGGGTTGTGCATACCCAAAGTTGTCCGGCACCAGAATCTGTCTCTAAGACCACCCTCCTCCTCGGGACACTGTGATGGGTTTCACAGGATCTGGGGGATAAAATCCATTCCTGCCAGAACTGGCTGCTTGAGCAAAATTACTTTTTCATTTTTGCGCACAATGTGCTTTTTATCACTCCCAGACCTTGTATGTGTTATTCCTCCACCTACAGGAAGTCTTCCCAGATACCCCTTACTCTGGATTAGGTGTCTCCTTCTTTCATGTCTTAGTGTACTTTCATTGCCTCTAATTCTCTTTCCGTCCCACTTAAACTGCAGTCCCGCTCTCCTCTTCGCCTAATACATAGGCAGGTACTTGTAAAAGATTGAATGTATTAATTGCTATGATCTGTTCTATGGAACTGGAATAATTTTTACTGTCAAGAATGCTAACTGTGCAGGCTCTAAAAGTATTTATCGGGTGGTCTGTTCTGTCAGACTCCTGCTCTTGATGAGGTATTAGGCAGTATTATCAGAATTAGTCTGCATCTGTGGTTATCCGTGCCATACAGCAAAATATTATGAAACCCGTTCTCTCTGTCTGCAAAACCCAGAGTTCTGCTGGTTTTGCATGTCTTTCCTTGAGAACTCTTAGTATTTTTCCCTATATTTTCTTCTCGAAGTCATAGGATATAGTTCTTACATTTAGGTTTATGGTTCGTTTCTAAATAACTTTCACGTATGGTAAGAGGTTAAGATCAAAGTTATCTTTTTCCACAAAAGGCTCTTCGATTGTTCTGATTCTCCTTTCCCCCATGGTGTTGTCTTGGTGCTTTGTCAAAAACTAGTTGACCAGTCTGGCTCAGAGGTTCAGTGTCAACCTGTGAACCAGGAGGTCATGGTTCGATTCCCGGTCAGGGCATATGCCCAGGTTGTGTGCTCTATCCCTAAGAGGGGGTGTGCAGGTGGCAGCCAATTGATGATTATCTCTCATCATTGATGTTTTCTTCTACCTCTTCCTCTCTGAAATCAATAAAAATCACATTTAGAAAACAAAAAACTCCAGTTCACCACATGTATGTGGATCTAGATGTGGAATCCAGTTTGTTGCATTGTTTTCAATGACTATACATAGGCCAATACCACACTGCCTTGTAGCTTTATAGAAAGTCATGAAATCAGAGCATATAAATCAAGTAACATAAATGTTAGCCACTCTTCTTATAGAGAACTCATCAACCAAGCCATTTATGGTAATTAGCTGTAGTATCACGTGGTAACCGGTTTCATGCTTTGAAAATATTTGCTGAGTCTCCTGCTTTAGATGTTCTGTTATCTGAAATCTGACTAAGGAACAGGTAGGAGTTCTTGGTCTGGTTAAGCCTAATGTCACAATTAAATATGGTAAGAAACAGCACTGGTTTTAATGTTATCTCCCTCCCCACCTTTTATAAAAATTAGTAACCAGAGCCGTATGCACCTGGCAGGCTTGGCTCCATTGGTTGGGTGTCATCCCATGCACCAAAAGGTCGCCAGTTTGATTCCCTGTCGGGGCACACGCCCAGGTTGCAGGCTCAATTCCCGTTGCGGGGCATGTAGGAGGCAGCAGATCGATGTTTTTTTTCTCACATCATTGTTTCTCTCTCTCTCTCTCTCTCTATCTATCTATCTATCTATCTTCCTCTTCCTCTTCCTCTGAAAATTTTTTAAAAAGACAAATTTTAGAAGGAGAGCCTATGCACACCTGTAAGATAAATGCCAGAAATATTAGCAAGACCTCCAGATTGCCCAGGGAATCAGTCTATAACGTTCCTCCATTTTCAAGAGTGGAAATTCATCCTATCTGGTTAAAGGTTTAGAATACTCATGGAAACCTGTTCTTAGAGACCTAAAATTTAAGTAAGTGAAAAGTATGTTCGTGTTTTGTAGAAAGTGTTTGTTCTATACAAATAATATTGGCTTTAGCAACTTAATATCCAGAGTGGTTTCCATTTTGGAATGTGTAATTTTTCAGGGGTTTTTGGCTGGGGTAAGGGCTTTGAGAAAGCACAGCCACTCACCTTGGCCTGAAACTGCGCCAGGGGCTCCAGGGACTCTTCGGATGCTGACGGCGGAAGGGCTCCTGGCGGGCACCGTTCAGAGAGGGAAAGGGACTGGGGTGTGCACTGGGTCCCACAGGAAGAACCACCAGAAGGCCCAGGCGTGCCAGTGTCCTCTTGTGAAGCACACCTGGCACCGTAGATACATGGAAGGTGCCGGTAGGTGCCGTGAGAACATTAGCTTGAGCCAGATGAAGCTGCCGTTGGGTGGTCAGGAAAAAGTCAGATGTCAGGGATTCCCTGTGTTACCCTGTGAGGCAAGCCCTCGGACACAATCAGGTGGGAGGCCACTGTGAGTGTGTTTGGAAAATGGGCAGGATCCGATGGCTGCTGGCGGGGTTGGCTGGGTTGGTTGGAGAAGGTGGACTGTTGAGAGGCCCCAGGAGGTTTGCCTGGGGAAGAAGCCTCGGGAAGGACCAGGTGGGGCCCTCGGAGAGGGCTCCAGGCGCCTGCTGCAGAAGCCAGAGCCCAGCCCTCAGCCCCGAGTTCCAGTGACAGCCTGGGCAGCGGGGATGAGCTGTGCTGTGAGTGCCCAGGTGCCTCGTAGAATCTGCTTTGCAGTTATTTCTGTCTGTTCCCTTGTTGCACTGAGGACAGGAAGGTGTTCTTGGCCTCTGAGCAGGGTGAGAGGCTCTTGTTGGGCACCTGCATTCCGTGTCCTGAGACCTTGTTAGGGCCTGGCTAGAGTGAAAGCCTGTATTTAGTAAATGCAAGGGAATAATGCCTGAAGCCCACTCTCCGAACCGCCTCTCCTCACAAGGCATCAGTGATTTGGCCATAAGCTGCTGGTCTCACCTGGCTGACAAGTCTTTTCTTGAGGCGTGCTGTCTTTCTGTCGCACACTATCTTGGTGTCTGTGCTTTTTTCTTGGCCTCTGCTTGCTCTCTATGCTCTTAACTAATATCTCTCTCTCTCTCTGTCTCCCCATCCAAAACTTTTGACTCGGAATGAAATCTGCACAGTTGACCTCACCTGTGGTGTCTTCTTGTCGCCCTTGCAGTTCCGCCAGGAGTGATACAGAACGGAGCGCGGGTTCTGAGCCGAGGGCTGTTCCCCGGGGTCCGGCCATTGCCAATCACGCCCATCGGGATGACGGCCGCTGTGAGGTAAGGGGCGCTGGCTGGGCAGAGCCTGCCTGGGGCGTGGGAACGGCATCGTGGGTCCTGCGGGGCCACTCGGTGGGATGGAGAGAAACAGCCCCAAAGTAGCGAAGACAACAAACCCGGTTTGGGTGTTTTAAAAAGTAACTTAAAGTGACTCCCAGTGACCCCAGTCCAAACGCCAGCCTCCCCCTTCACGGCCGGTCAGACCCTGGTCTCCGTGCAGATGAGATGAAGACAGAACAATTGAGTGGGAGTTTTTATTCTAAGAAAGCAGGGTAAGGTGGGTGGAGGGAAATGGTGAGCAGTTGGTTCGAGATCCCGGCTGGCAGGCCTGGCTGTGGATGTCTGCGCCAGCATGGCTGTCTGCTCCGATTGGCTCTGCTGCCTCCCTGCCCACTCCCTCCACCCAGCCACCACCAGCCATCGGCAGAACCTTCCAGGTCTCCCACCACATCACCCAGCACCCACCCCGTCCTCCCGTCTCCTGGAGCCAGATTTGTTCCCCAGAGGTGTCCAGGTTTTGCCCATCTTATTCAAGCTGTGTCCTCCGTGTAGATTTCCCGCAACCTCCACACACAGGACATGATCCCTTCACAAGCCCTTTCTGAACACGGTGCCCACTACAGGAATTAGAGATGAAGAAGCGTTGGGATGGTAGAGGAACACCAAGCGCACTGGGAGGGGATCTCTCTTCTTCCTCCACCCCGTCCCGGTGTCTCTGTGGCACCCCCTCTTGAACAGGCCTCATATGGAGCAGGTGGTACAGCAGAAATGTGGCTGCCACAGCCCAGCCCTGGCCCCTCTGCAGGAAGCGCTGCAGAAGGGTGGCTTTGGGCTGAGTGACAATAGCTTCCTCAAAGCCTGCCCACAACCAGAGCACCATGGTCTAAGAGTGCCCTTCCTGAACTCATAGGAGTTTAGAGCAGAATCGTTTCGGTATCCAACCACAATTTGCAGAAACTGGACAAGTTTCCATTGCCATGGAGGTAACTAGTTAAAGAAAACCATCATCCTACCCCAGTTTTAAGATAAACTGGGCAGAGATGTATTGCAAGCTCTGTAAGATCAAGGACCCTTGCTCTCTTTATGTCCCCAATGCCTGGCAAATAAGCACTGAGATGCTTTGGGAGAAAACACACACATAAATATACGTAGATATTTGCAGAATCGGTGTCTGGGTAAAACTCATTAAGAAGGGTTTGGGGGAGTCCTAGCCCAGGTGGCTCAGTTGGTTGCAGTATCATTCTCTCCTGATGCCACCAGATTGCTAGTTCAATTCCCGTCAGGGCAGAAGCCCGTGTTGTGGGCTTGATCCCCAGTAGGAGGGCACAGGAGGCAGCCGTGCATTCTCACATTGATGTTTCTCTCTCCCTCTAACCCTTCTCTCTACAGAAACTCAGTAAACTATTCTTTAAAAAGAAAAAGTGTGTGAGGGAGAAAATCTTCTGTTTTGTTCTTTCACATTCGTTATAATTTAAATTTCGTTTTGGTTTGGCCATGTCTCCATAGAACCAGACTCGGCTGAGGTTGAAAGGAAAACAGCTAGCTGAAACCAGTTTGGCTCAGTGGGTAGAGCGTCGGCCTGCGGACTGAAGGGTCCCTGATTCAATTCTGGTCAAGGGCATGTACCTTGGTAGCGGGCACATTCCCAGTGGGAGGTGTGCAGGAGGCAGCTGATCGGTGTTTCTCTCTCGTCGATGTTTCTAACCCTCTATCGTTTTCCTTTCCTCTCAAAAATCAATAGAGTATATATTTTTTTTTTTTTCAAAAAAAGGAAAACAGCTAAACGGGAGTAAAACAACAGCAGATGTTCTCTGCCACATCACGTGGCAGTGACCAGATGTGGGTGTCGGGGGGCGCAGATGTTTGCTCGGGTCGTGGGCCACTGTCCCTGTCAGCCCAGCTGCGGCTGGAGGGAGACCAGGGAGTCGTTTGCACTCACTAAAGACCGGTTTCCCCCCTCCTGCTTCATGTGACAGCTCTTCTGTGTGACTCTAAGAGAATTCTCCTTAAGTGAAAATATTTATCTTTCAGGGATTTTTTTTCCCCTCCACTGAGTGGCAAAGGCCATGTTTGTCTTAACTCCGAAACCATTATTGACTTAGATGAAGTGTTACTTTTATTAGCTGGTCATTACACAGCTTATATTTGCTGGGTTCCCTTGCATATAATTATGATGTGAAATCTCCTTGTAAGAGTTTCTGTCAATAGTGTAATTGACTTTACAGTGTTGACTTTTTACTCAATAACCTCAGAGATTGGCCCATCCGTACACGTTGGAATCCTGCTTGTTTTTAAATCTGCCTGGGCGTAGAGTCCTCAAGACACATGATCCTCAAAATAACTGCTCACACGTCTTAAAGTTTTATGCCTGTGTCTTCTGGTGCTTTCCCGGTGGGGTTTCTTTACAGAGAATGCACTGAATGCAAGAAACAGCTACTGCCCTAGAGCAACTGTTTCTGGCCCTCTTGAGAGACGGGAACCCCAGATTCCTTCCATTAATAGCATTCTCGGCTGCCTCCCAGGTACAGTCCCTGGATCTGGGCATGTCCAGGGCTTGCCAGAGGAATTGGAGACACCTGACGGGAGTGGGGTTCTTCATAGGACAACAAAGACCAGAAATTGCACACGAGGGCTTGGGAAACCAGTTTCCTGGGTTCATATCCTGTGACCTAGGGCAAGCGGGCCTGGCAGAATCAGCACCTGCCTCAGGGTTAACACTAATGTGCCTGGCACGGAGCTTGCGTTATGCAGGTGCTTGATAAATAAGGTGGAAAAACAGCCCGATTCAGAAATGGGCAAAGAACTTGAATAGACATTTCTCCAGAGAAGATGCACAAAGGGTCAGCAAGCAGCATGCACATGAGGAGATGCTCAGCATCTCTGTTCACCAGGGAAATGCAAACCAAAACTCCAGGGAGATACCATTTCACCCCCATTAGCAGGGTTCCTATCAAAAAAACAACATATATAACAAGTGTTGACAGGGAATCCTTATGCACTATTGGTGGGAATGGAAAATGGTGCAGCCACTGTGGAAAATAGAATGGCCACATGATCCAGCAATTCCACTTCTGGGTACACACCCAAAAGAATTGAAAGCAGGGTCATAAGGAGATGTTTGTACATCCATGTTCATAGTAGCATTATCCACAATGGCTAATGTGTACATTCGACCCCCGTGTCCATTAACAGATGAATGGATAAGCAAAATGTGGTATATCCACTCATGGAATATTATTTAACCTTCTAGGAAGGAAGTTCTAACATAGGCCACAACATGGATGTACGTTGAGGATATTAAATTGAGTGAAGCCAGTCACAACAAGGCAAATAGTGAGTAGTCAGAATTATAGAAAGTAGAATGGTGGTTGGCAGGGACTGGGAGGAGGAGAGGGAAACAGAGTTATTGTTTTAATGGGTATAGAGTTAGAAATTTCCATGAAAAGTTCTGGAGATGGATGATGGTGATGGTAGCATAGTATTATGAGTGTATGGACGTTTGTTGGGGAGGGAGTAAAATTAATGTGGAGAGGTTCATGGGTTTATCTAGCCCAGCGTTTTTCAACCGCTGTTCCGCGGCACACTAGTGTGCCGCGAGATGTTGCCTGGTGTGCCGTAGGTGCAGACAAGACAAGAATTTTATAATTTTTCACTATTTTGTTTACTTAATATTTCATAATAAAGTAATTATAAAATGCTTTCTTTGTGTTTATTTGATTCCTATTCAAGAGAATTACTTTATATATAGTCAATATAGGCACAGAGTTAAATTTTTTTAACATTTTCTAATGGTGGTGTGCCTCGTGATTTTTTTCATGAAACAAGTGTGCCTTTGCCCAAAAAAGGTTGAAAAACACTGATCTAGCCTGCCCTCCATATGCCTTCCCAGGTCACTTTTCTGAGAACCCCAAACTCCAGGAGAAGGCAGGTGCTACCTTCAGAACTGCACATTTGGGGTGAAACCATTAGTCTTGAGGGATGATGGCAGCAGGCAGGACCACAAGTCTAAACCATAGCATGTTACAAAATTAGAAGACCTATTTAAGGTGCTTCATTTTAATTGAGTCGCTTAGACCTCAGTTGAAACTTCAATTTCCATGGACCGTGAAGCAAGTCAGGAATTGATAGTCCTGTTATAAGACAAAATACTAACATTTAAGGTCCAGTCGTCAGGAAAACCAAGGCAACTCTCTTAGTCCTTCCCCTTGAGAAGATGTTTGTAAAAGGTGTGGAAAGCCTGTAGCCTTCGGTACTAAAATGGGATGTGGTCTGACTATGCAGCTTATGGAAAAATTTGCCACTGGTCCTTTGTTGTGTTGTGTTTTTACAGATCAAACATCTGTCAGCTTTTGTCTTCTGAAATCATGGTCTTTGAAGCCACGTCTGAACCTCAGGATTAGATTATGCTGAGTTTGTGCTGGGAGGGAGAGGAGGAAATACTAAAGGGAAAGAGATTAAAGGCAACGAGAAAAGAAGCACCAGGAGGACAGAGCATGCGCTTGAGTTCTCACTGAACCCCTTGTCTGTGCTTCTTGTCTCTGCTTTCAGCTCCTCTGGGCCAGAAATCTAAGCATGTGACATTTGATTATTCTAGGGTTGCTTTTCGTATTTTAAATCAATGGCATTGGTTAAAGCGTCCTGCTGGCTTTTTCTGTTGTATCTGAAAATGCTCAGAGCCCCTGGTCATTCTGGGCTGTGCCATGTACAAAACAATGGATGGAGGAGAGTCTTAGAATGATTTTGTGTGTGTGTGTGTGTGTGTGTGTGTTCTGTGATCTAATGTAGAAAGGGAGTCACAATTATCTCATATGGTCTTAGGGGACCATATGCAGCTCATGGGAGAAAATTGTGCCCCGAACCCCAACCTGGAGCTGACCACTGAGGCAGAACTGGCATTGTGGAACTTGTGTTTCCTCTGGAAGTGCTAACCAGCATCATAGCCCCTGAACCTGCTCACATTACACTATTCTTGTAATTATAAAACACTCACGAACTCACCG